GTTTTAGAATAGTCTTAATATGATATTGTGGTGAAGATGAATTCAATAAGAAAGTCAGCAATTTTATTTTAATAATAAGATTCTCTAGTTCCCTAAGGAAAAATGAGCTGTATAATTCCAAAGTAATTAGGATTTCAACTGAGTATTAATAAAGCTCTATGTTCCCACCAAGGACATTGTGTCTTATGTGGGGGAGGTTTCCTCTGCTCTGGCCCCCACTTTGTTCTTGTTTATATACACTGGCTTTCCAGTTTATGATCCCTGTAGTTTACATCGCAATAAAGTGCCAAATATTTCCTGCCTACACCTCTGTTAGACTGCAGAGCATGAGAACTGTTATGGAAAGCAACAGATCAAAATATTTTTTAGATTGTTGGTGTTTTTATGCCCATTTTGGAACATAAATATTTATGCCTATTGCCAAACTGAACCCCCATGTGTTATGAGGAGACCATTGATTAGTCCGTAGTCTGAAGAGGACTCATATAAATAGTGGTTATGCTTGACAAGATTGATGGGGAGAACTTCTGGAAGGAGTAATGCCTGAAGCTGGTTTTCGTATTTTGATTCTATGCATAAAAGAGCTGAATGGATCAGCCTTGGATAAATGTTCAAACATTGTCCACCCTGGTTGTGATAACTTATAGCTGCTGAGTATGGGGACCATGGTTATCTTCCTGAATCATGCATACACCTGAAATGGAAGAGTAATGCAAACACAGGCCTTCTTTGAGGACAAGCTCTATTTTTCTTCCTAAGGCCCAGTATTTTTCAGACAAGTCTAAGTTTCTCAATGGAATATCAATCGATTCTGAAGTTCTTTATAACATGTGAGCATCAAGTGGAGGTAGGCTTGTAGTCTGAAACTTATTATTCATTTCCAGGTCTCACCCAAAGCTCCCAGAATCAGAATATTCCTAAGCTGCTCTGGGGAATCAGCTTGTGACACACTCACCAGAGGATCTGGCATGTACCCATGCTCAAGTGAAGAGATTCAGTATCATCTGTGTCACCTCTGAATTGAGTCGAGTCGATGCCTAAAGAGATTGAGTTCCTTAGATAACTTATGAAGAAAAACCCAAATATTTGTGTCTTTTTGTTCTTTTTTTCATAATTAAATGTTTTTTCTGATGATTCTAACAGTCAAATCCAGGGCTTTATAGATGCTAAGCAAATACTCTACCACTGGGCTATACTCCCAGACTCCATTGACTCTTCATGGATTAATTAAATAAGTCAGTGTCTTTTTAATGTGACTGAAATAGAATAAAAAATAATTTCATCTTCATATAGCTTACAAAGGATATCTCAAAGGGTTCCCTCAGAAATACGCATCAGGCTGTAAGGATAATGGCCAGAATACACCACTCTTCACGAATGTTGCAAGCATGAACATAGGTCCGATGCCAGTACCATGCCAGTCAGTAAGCAGGGCTCATTATGTCTGCTGTCATCAGAAGGGAACTATTTTCTTGTCTTCCACTGTCCAGTCAAATTGTCTGTAGGGTTCATTCTTTCCTGTTTTCCAAGTAAACACTAAGAAATGGCATGTATTTTTCACTATCAAACTAAATTATTCTTTGCTCTCTCCTACACACATAAGATAGCTATGTCTTTCATTAATATATCCAAGATAGAGCAATGTTTTTAAAGTATATCAAAGTTTTTTTTAAACTGGGTGGTCCCCTCTCTACCAGCTCAGTTCTTGTTGGATCTGTCTGCTTGCTGTGGGAAAGAGCGTATGGTGAACTTCTCTCTTTTACTCTGCTTAGAGCTTTTGTTCATCCTTTGGGACTCTTCTTTTTCTTCTCTCTTCAATAGATTTCTTAGGTTGACTGCCCCAACTTACTACTCTTAGTAGTGCCTAACATTACATCAGACCAGCTCCACACAGGTGATCTCTGGAAAGATTTTATATAGCATATTTTCTGATAAGCTCTGAAAATCCAGACTATGCCCACCCCTGCCACCTCTTGTACTCTGTTATCAGTAATGTAACACTTCAAATTTTGTAGGAGACGTCAGAGTTCAGTACATTGTTTCCTAGGTGTAAGGTAGGGCTCGTCAAGCTCTTAGGTGATTCCATTAGATCCCTTTATCTAGGTGTGAGGAATTAGGACTCCATGCTTTTACATGGTAGAGGAGGGGGTACAGCTCATTGTACAGCAGTTTTCCCTTTAGGAAATTCCAACCTATTTCTTTTCCATTCTCTTTTATAGACTTGTGGCACAGAATACCACCCTGGCATTTTCTCACTTCCCTTGATGTACTACCTTCGTATTTCTTTCTCCACTTTAGTAATACAGGTGTATTTACACCAGTGTCTCAAGACATAAGCTCAGGGCTTCATGAGTGGGATTCTAAGGCACTAAGGATTAATGAACAGGACTGATTGGATTTGTTGCCATAAAATTCTTGCTATATTATTCTTCTTTACTATTCTTTTTAGTATTTTTCTATTTTAAGGGTGTGTTATTTGTACAAAGTAAAGAGTTCTATTGTGACATTTTCATACCTTCATATACTTAGATCATATTCACCTTTGTATTATTCTTTCCTATCCCCTAAACCCTTTTCTCTCCCTTGATCCAACTCCCCAGCAATTCTGCTTTTACTTTCATAACCTTCTTTCTTTTTTTTCACCTAGCTTCTACAAATGAGAGAAAACCTGTGATGTTTATCTCTCTGGGCTGGTAGAGTTCATATAAGATACTGATCTTCCATTCCATCCACTTCCTACAAATGACATGATTTTATTCTTCATGGAGAGTAATCCTGAACTGTGTGCCCACCTCATCTGTTGATAGGCATGTCTGACTATTTTACAATTTAGCTATAGTGAATATTGCTGCAGTAAACACAGAGGGATAAGCCAAAAGTCATCCTTTTTCAGATATATACCCAAAATGATATTTCCTAAATCATATGAAAATTCTATTTTCAGTTCTCAAAGGAACCTCCATACTTAACTCCACAGTGCTGGAACTCATTTATATTTCTACCAACCTTGTATAAGGGATTCCTTCCCCCTACTCAGCTTCTTTACCCCCTTTGTTGTTTTCTTGATGATAACTATTCTGAAAAAGCTAAAGTGGAATTTTTATTTGCATGTTCATGATGGCTAAAGACATTAGACATTCTTTCATTTATTTATTGGCCTTTTGTACTTACTCCTCTGAAGTGTTCAGTTCCATTGCCAATATATTGATTAGATTGATTGCTTTTGGTTGTTTAGTTTTTTGAGTTCTTTATGCATTCTGAATTTTAACCTCCTGTCAGATGAATATCAAGCAAAATTTTTATCTCCCATTTTGTAGACAGTCTTTTTGCTCTATCGTTGTTCCTTTTACTGAATAGAAGCCTTTTAATTTGGCACAACCAATCTGCCAATTCTTGCTCCTATTTCCTGAACAATTTGATTCCTATTCAGAAATTCATTCTCTATTTCTACATTTCTGAGATATTTTCCTGTTTTACTATAGTAGTTTCACAAGTTCAGTCTTAAATTAAGGTCTTTGAACCATTTGGTTTTATTTTTGTATAATGTAAAAGAATAGAAATCTCAGATTCAGTCTTTTTACATGTGGATATCCAGTTTTCATAGTACTATGTTTTTTTTAAAGAAGCTGTCTTATCTCTATTGAATATTGCTAGTGCAGAAGATAACTATATTCTTGTGTATCACTACCTAGTTCACCTATCCTGTAATCTATAACAATAGCTAACTTACACTGCTCACATGTTCCATACTATCCTCTTTCATGAGTGACATATATCTCAGTGCAAGCCCTCCACTATAAGAAAACAGAACCCTCCAGAAAACATTTAAGTTACATAAAGTAACCCAGGTGTCAAGTTGTAAGCACTTCCAATCATAGTACATTGTATTCTTTCTTGAGAAATCAGAGAGTAACTGCCTCCTTGAAAAAAATGCATTAATTAGAAAGAGATGCTGCCATTGTTTAATATCCAGGCTTTTTAATGTCAAAACCATAATTTTGTGGCAAAATTAATACCTGTTCTTAACTTCTAAGTAAATTAATATAGCTATTCACTTAGTTTTTAAAATACTGTTGTGATGTTGATGGAGTTTTCCTCATTATATAAATAAGAAACAGCTTGGAAAGAGTTATGAGACTTTTTTAAGGTCAAGCCAAGGAGCAAATCCAGCATTTCAGATCAGAAGTAACTTTATTTCCCTCTCTCCTTTGAAGCAACATGCTAGTAGATGTGTGTGTCATTGTAAGTTCCAGATGTTCAAAATTATTTGATTAAAGCTGCTTTTTAATGCTAGTTTTCTCTGAATGAGATAATATGATTAAGAGAAGGGAGAATTTACTAGGCTCCTTGAAACCAAACAGCGTTTTTCTTGTATTGGAATTCCCATTGCCTAATCCAAAATTGATACTGCATTAATGAAGCAATTAAATGCATAAATATGTGGATGCAGAGATTTTCTTTTAGGCTCCATGATGGAAATAAAGATTTATTTGAAACTGATTGATGTGTTACCCTTCTTTCTGGCCATTTATATTTTATTAGATAGTCCTGGGAGAAACACCTAAATTAATGATGTCTGAAGTTGTACTTCCAATTCTACCATTAGACAGGAGACAAGGAAAGGATTTGGAGAAAATTCATTGACATTTCAAAATTCTGTTTTAGAAATAACAACTAACTTTGTCAGTGTGCCTTAGGGAAAAGTAGAGTGCTTCTTTGTTTGAGCTATAAAATGTCCAGAAACATTTTGCTTTAGCTCAAAGAAGTATCTTCTTGTAATTTCAGTCATCCAGAAATGTAGTTGACTGCTTCTACAAATTCAGATTCCCACTTCTTCTGTGGGGCCTATAGGCTAGACCTAGAAGAAGGACCTGAAATGTGATGGGTGGGGTATACCAGAAATCCTCTTTTTTACTCCATTGCTCAAATTGTGGACATTCAAGACTCCATTCTGCTGACTCAGAACAGGGTGTAGTAACAGGTCTGTCTATCATCCACAGGTCTGAGGCGCAATTACAGATGTACCATCTGCAGTGTGTCCCTAAACTCCATAGAACAGTATCATGCCCACCTGAAAGGATCCAAACACCAGACCAAGTATGTACTTTCAGATTCTCACTTTGCAGTAGTTTTCTATGCATTTTTTGCAAGACTAATGACTAATATGTTGTTTATTGCAAAATAAATAGTTGGGAATTATATCTCTTTAAGTTATGATATTTATGCCTCTAAAGACCTCAGAACCTACCTAGTGTTTCTCAAAGAATCGAAATTTTGTTTCATGCATTTTTCCTAATATAACTTGATACATCTTTATGATTTGGGTAAACTTTCAGATCTATGCTATTTTTAAGTAAACACTGCTACTCCTATATGTAAGACATGCCAAACTTTGATATTGTGAAGACAAATTATATGAAAGTCCTGCATCACTTTCACTTCATGGGTGAATTTTTGTCCATTATTATAAAAACTTAACAGATATATTATGTCATTTATTATATACATATCAATTTCTAATTAAATGCAAGCTTGTTCTATTTTTCCTGAAAAGATTCTCATGATTTTAAAATGCAAAAGGCTGATGAGGCATTGTTTCACCTCCATTTATACTTTGCATCTGTTCAGAATCTTTTTAAAATCAGAGAGCATTTTAAAACATCTGCTAGGGCTGTTAATAAAATGCTAACAAAATAAGCAAAAGTAAAAATTGTCTCAACATGATGGTATTTTCCTGAAAGTAATTAGTTTTATTTTTAAATTTATTACAAAATCCTTTAACAAATTTAATTTATCAAGGTCTTGTGAGCAATGAATAGTTTCATATAAAAAAACATTAATTTAGTCCTTACTGTGTGTCACACTCCCAACTGTACCTTGGGAAAGAAGGGATGAGTAGACCAAGACCTTCCTTGTGTGGAGGCCCCTGGCAGGCTGGGGTAACAGAATATAAATGTGTAGATTGTTCTGTAATGCCAGGATGAGAACAGGATGGAGCAACTTAACTTAGTGTGTTTTCTTTCTTGGGAATTTGATGCAAAGATAAAACCCATGAGGAAGGGGCCCTGGACTGAATGTTCAGAGTCATATCCCTGGTGCCTAAGATGCTTCTCATCACATATTAGGAACTTTGTCAAGGTTTTGACAGAATAACTATGTGATTTCCAGAAACAGTAATAATAATTTTCTAGTCAGATAAGAGAAGAATCATTCTAGGCAAGGAAATTGTATTGCAAAGATACAGAAAGATGAAAGTCAGAGGAAGTCTGGCTCAGGTGAAGAAATGTAAGCCTGGAGTGTGTCTGACCATCAGCTTTCTTTGCAGTATTGTGCTCTTGTGACAGACAAAGACAATTCTATGCATTGCTTTACCTGGGTCCACCCAAAAGGATTGTATCAAACTAGTCCTTTAAAAGACAAGATTTTCCCTGTTTCATTGTGAGAGTACTTACATTGATTATTAGATACTGACCCCCAAATAATCTGTTTTCATTACATTTGTAATTAATAATGTATAAGTAGTACGATGTATAACCTAATTAATATCTGCCTAAGGTACTAACACACACATGCCTGTGCTAATAAATTATAATTTTGGGGAGGACATGTATTCATTACTCTTAATGAGTAAAAAAGTTGATAATGCTGCCTTTCTGTGGCATATATTAAATCAATAACCAATGTAGACTGCATAGGGCTGCTGAGAAATGTTTGTCTATCCATCTGTACATATAAAACTTCTGTAGTGAAATCGGTGCTAGGTATTTTCATATTTATTATCTGAATTAATCTTCAGAATTACTTTTGAAACAAATGTTAGACTCATTATTCTACATGAGAAAACTAAGCCTCAGAGTTTCAGAGTCTGACTTTTGCCTCTACTTAACTCCACATTAGTCAATTACATGAACTAGCTGGAGACAGAAAAGATAGTAGTGAATTCTGTTATATATTTGGAAAAAGAGAGCACCATTTTCCTGTTTTTTTATTATTTTTTCATTTTTTTGTATGTGCTGGTTCTGAGGCTTGAGCTTAGGGTCTGGGCACTGTCCCTGAGCTTCAGTGCTCAGTGTTAGTTTTACTCTTTAACCACTTTGAGCTACAGCACCATTTCTAGCTTTTTTGGTACTTAATTGAAGGTAAGAGTCTCACAGACTTTACTGCCCAGGCTGGCTTTGAACTGTGATACTCAAATCTCAGCCTCCTGAGTACCCTGGCTGTCCTTATCCTGTTTATAAAAATTAAACTATTTCTTTTTACATTTTGATGTTCTGAGAATGGAGCTCAAGGTCTTGCCCATGATAGAGAAGTGCCTTCCCTTGACCAGTATTCCCAAGCCCATATTTTCATGATAAGTTGTAGAAGTTTATAGGATTTTAAAAAGTATAATATTTAACTATCCAATCGCTTTAATGGTTAACATCACTTGGATACTAATTAAGGATTTTCTTATCATTTTAATTTCATTAAAACAAATGTTACTGTCTGTATATTATATTGTTACAAATACCTGTCTTTGATTCATCTAATGTTAATTTTATGCATAGTATAATGGAAAAGGCAAATTCAAGAATGTTTTTCTGAACAAGTACCTATTGATACAGTACCAGTTATTGAAAAGAGGATAACAATAAATCTTTTTTGTGTGGATCAGATGATTTGCATACACACACACACACACACACATACACACACACACACACACATACACACACACACACACACGTGTACATGCTTGCCAGAGTGTTCTGTGAATTATGTCTCACTGACGTCTTTTTAATTCTATTATATTACTTCATCTACTTAGTAAATTTTTATAGCTAATAGTGTAAATTCTAGATTCCATCTTTCATTTTCAGGAGCTTCTTTACTATTCTCATTCCTTTGTATTTCTAGATAAATTTTACAGTCAAATTGTCAACTTTCACAAGCAAACTTTCACACAAATGGATCAACTAATTCACAAACATTTATTGATGTTTTGAATTCTTTCCATAATATTTTATAGCTACCTCTGCAAAAGTCTGGCACATCTTCATTTAGATTTGTTTTCAAAGAATTTGCTGTTTGTGGATGCTAAGATAAATGAGATTTTTTTAAATGAAAGATTTATACAACACGAGAGGAAACCAGCATTTAAATGAAGGCATTTGAAGTTTTTATTTTTTACCATTTTTTTCTAGTATCAACATAGGAAATGTATTCCCAAGTATAACCAATAGCTTTGGGAAGTTTACTTATTCATTCTATTAGCAAGTAATTTGAGGATTTTCTATGTAAATGTGATGTCATTTGTAAATAATGACTATTTCTTCCTTTCACATCTTATCTATGTATTACATTATTATATAATCTAGAAGAATGTTGAATACAAATAGTAATAACAGACATTATTGAAGCTTGCTTCTTTCAGGATTTATTCAGATAACTAACAAAATCAAAGTAAGAAACTCATATTTTATTCATAGTTTGTTAATTTTGTTATGAGTGCATGCTGAATGCTATCACATTTTTGTTTTCATGATTTTATAGTTTTTATATTGAATTTTATTAAAGGATTTTCAAATGTCAACCCAACTTTGAATTAAAAACCCATTTGTCTTAATACTATGTTTTTACATATTTCTAGAACAAATTCCTTAGTACTTGCTAAGGATCTTTCTCTCTCCCTTTCTTCCCCCTCTCTGTCTATATTGTGTATGTGTGTGCTATAGTTTATGAGATAAAATGTGCCTTAAGTTTTCTTTCTTCAAATGTTCTTATAAGATTGGGTATCAAAATTATACTGATCTTTTTAAACAGGTTGAGAGATTTTCACTCTGTTTTAAATCTTATATGTATTCATGGTAGAATAGTGTTAGTTTTTCTTAAATTTCAAACAAATTCATGAGTGAAGCTATCTAAATTTAGAGGTTTATAATTTGGGAAGATTTTTTATTAGAAAATAATTTCCCTAATAAAATGTTACTCATTACATATATTTCTTGTTATATTAATTAAAGTATGATATTTTACAATGAACTTACCTATTCCACCTGCATTTAAAAATGTGTTGTTACCAGGCACTAGTGACTCATACCTGTAATCCTAACTACTCAGGAGGCTGAGATCTGAGGATCAGTTTTAAGCCAGCCCAGACAGGAAAGTCCTGAAACTCTTATCTCTAATTAACCACCAAAAAGCTGGACGTGGAGGTGTGGCTCAAGTGTTACAGCACTGCCTTGTCAAAAAAGCTCAGGGATAGCATCCAAGCCTGAGTTCAAGGTCCAGGACCTACACAAATATCCAAATATATACACACATATATGTATATATACATATATACACACATATATTTACATACATGTATATGTATACATATGGTATGTGTATACATATGTATATAGGACTCTTCTGCAAAAGCATTTTATGGTTAATTTGTTTCTGAATCCAATGGCATCAGAGCATATAGTCTAAATGACCTTGGAAATTTATAAACAATTGCTCTATGTGGAAAGCAAATGGTTTCTTCTAATAATATTCCATGTTCAATTGAAAAAAAGATCATTTGAGTAAGTTGCCCTAAATACAAATAAGGATTAATCTAGTTTAGGTTTAATCTAGTATAAAGTTTAATCTAGTTTAAATCTAGAAAGTCATTTCCTCATTATTTTTCTTCTAACACTTGAGAGAAGCTTGGTGGTAAAAAAAATAAAACAAAAAAACTTTGAGTTGTGGGTATAAATGTCCTCATCCACCTTTTTAATTCTTTACATTTTTTATATTTTTTTATTTTTTTTGGGTCCGTTCGTGGGGCCTGAACTCTGGGCCTGGGTGCTGTCCCTCAGCTCTTCAGCTCAAGGGTAGCACTCTACCACTTGAACCACAGTGCCAATTCCGGCTTTTTTCTTTTTTGCTTATGTGGGGCTGAGCAATCGAACCCAAGGCCTCAGGCATGCAAGGCAAGCACTCTACCACTGAGCCATCTTCCCAGCCCTTTTTTATATATTTTTAAAGTGCATTATTAGATACTTACAAATTTAGGCTTCTATATATTCTTAGTGAATTGGACCTTTTCAAATGAACTTTTCTGTTACTTTGATATGTCCTTTGCTGTC